AAATTTAATTTAGGGATGGATCTGTTCCTCTGGGACAGGACAGGGGGTCACACCTCGGGATTTCCCCGGGAAAATTTAATTTAGGGATGGATCTGCTGTTCTGAGACAGGACAGGGGGTCACACCTCGGGATTTCCCCAGGAAAATTTAATTTAGGGATGGATCTGCTGTTCTGAGACAGGACAGGGGAAAATTTAATTTAGGGATGAGCCAGGATGGATCTGCTGCTCTAGGACAGGATCCCCCTGGACACACAGAGGGAGAAATTTAACTTAGGGCTGGATCTGCTGCTCTGGGACAGCACAGGGGGCTCAGTCCCCCCCCAAACCCCACCCAGCCCCGGCTGTGGGAGGGGAGCTTGGCCAGGCCCTGAGGAGGAGGAGGAGGAGGGAGGTGAGGAAGGCCTTACATGGGGTTGCCCTGCCCGTCGCACTGCAGCTGCAGCTTCTCCCCCTCCCGCGGGTACTGCGGGTGGGGCTCGATCTTCGCCGTGGGCTTGTCTGGAAAAGGGGGAGAGGAACAGTGGGGTGAGAGCCTGGCACCCCAAATCCCACCCCTGGAACCCCAAATCCTGCCCTGGAACCCCAAATCCTATAGCTGGTACTCCAAATCCTGCCCTGGAACACTAAATCCTACACCTGGTACTCCAAATCCCACCCTTGGCACCCCAAATCCCACCCCTGGTATCCCAAATCCTGCCCCTGGAACCCCAAATCCTGCCCCTGGCACTCCAAATCCTGCCCCTGGAACCCCAAATCCTGCCCCAGAATCCCAAGTCCTACACCTGGCACTCTAAATCCTGCCCTGGCACCCCAAATCCTGCCCCTGGCACCCCAAATCTCACCCCTGGAACCCCAAATCCTATAGCTGGTACTCCAAATCCTACCCCTGGCACCCCAAATCCCACCCCAGAATCCTAAATTCTACACCTGGTACTCCAAAATCTGCCCCTGGAACCCCAAATCTCGCCCCTGGAACCCCAAATCTCGCCCCTGGCACCCCAAATCTCACTCCTGGAACCCCAAATCTCGCCCCTGGCACCCCAAATCCCAGCCCTGGGCCAGCTGTGGGTGTGCAG